TTATAGAGGTGAAATTTCAATTTTTTTTCAATTGGAAAGAAAAACTATGAATTTTTGATATAATGAACCTAATACAGAACTTAAAAAATATACTAAATTAAGATCAATTATTGTGTGATCTAATCCTCAATTCTGAGAACTAAATTGCCAATTGCCCCTATATTGTTCCTCTAGAATCATTTGCCACATTGACGTTGACAATTAGTAATATGTATATGTTTGTACCAAAATCTGCATTGGAAGCTCAAATTGGTTTCACTTTAAGATTGGCATGCCACTCATTTTCTAATAAACACAAAAAGAAATCTCTACGATATCAGGGAAAACTTCTTTGAATTAAAAAAAAAAGTTGCACAAATAGGGGAATTGGGGGGGGGCTTTTTCTTCTTTTAGGAAGATGCGGCTGCAAAAAAAAAAATATTTTTTTAAGCTACAGGACTGCTGCACATGCCACTTGCAGTGGCCAAAATTACACTTCCAGTCCTCCAGGGATTGGAATTAAAATAGGCACACAAGTTTCTTTTTCATGTGCGATGGCCCATAAAAAAGAAGATTTTTTGTTTTTGAAATGTTAAGGAAATGTAAGCACTCTGGTGAAATTGTATTATAATTATTTGAGCCTCTTTACTACAGTTCATGACTGAAGCCACTGAGTTGCATATTCAATTTTTTCAGCAAGAATGTGACCTGGAATCAAGAGCATTATTGACTTATGTAGATGTAATTTTATCTTTTTATACATACTTTTGGTTCTCATGTAGGGCTGTAAACGAGTCAAGTCGAGTCGAGATTTGGTCTAATCGAGTCGAGTTTTGACATAATTTCATTGAACTCGAACTCGAGTTCGAGCTCGACGAGCTGACAATTTCAAGCTCGAGCCCGAAAAAAATAAAAAATAATTATTTTATTTTTTAAAAACTAAATGAAATAATAATTTTTTCTTAATAAATAATAAATATTAAGGATATATATTTAATTTTACTATTAAAATTAAAAAATAAAAAATATATATACTTAAAAAAATAAATATATATATATATACTTAAAATAAAAAATATAAAAAATATAAAAAAACCTTAAATATAATGCAAGTTTCAATGGACAAAAAATAATAGAAAAGCTAACCAAATAAATCACCAACATTTACATGCAAAGTTAGATTCATTATCTCTATTGAATTGATAAACGAAAGAAAATGATAATAATAATGTTGCGACATGTCATTCCTAAATTGTAACACTATTCTAACATATTTGATTGAAAAGGCAATGTTCCAAATTACTTTATTCTCTTCCAATTAAAAGAGTTATTAGTTCTAGAAACATGCTATAAAAATACTCGTTTTCCTAGTTCATGCTTTTCTTTTGGCTTTTCTTTTCTTTTTTGGGGGTAATAAGTGAGACTATGGAAACTTTTTTTTTCCGGTCTTGGCTATTTCTTTTTATCTAGTTACAATAGAGTTTTTCTTTTCATTCATTCCCCCAGTGGTAGGACAATGCGCTACAAGTGGAGGATCCTTGGTTTTTTTTTTTTTTCTCTTTGTTAAATTAAAAAGCTTTGAGCAAGGCTTTCACCAGGTCTATCCATGTGTCAAATGCTTGGATTGCTACAGTAAATCAAGTTGTCTTTTTTATTGTACTAGTTTTTTCAGCCTCACGCGATGCGTGAGGATGCCCTGGGTCTATGTTGAACAAGTTAAAATGAAGACAAGTGAATTAATATAAAATAGTTATATATTAAATACATGATGGGTGCGAGTAACTATGGGGAATTTAACTTTAGGTAAATTGGTTATTATCGTTATTCGTTTACTCAATTTATTTATGAAGTTGAAGAGATTTTTGTACCTACTGGACTTGGACTACTAATTGACTTAATATGAGATATCGATACGATATATTAGTATTTCATATCTGCGATAAATTATCAACGATCTAACAGTCGTCATGTGTGTGGGTGTGTATTTTTTCCTAATTGCACTGATAAATAAGACCTTGAAATTAGGTTATCTAACATTCTTAATGTAGCATTAATCAGTAAGTAATGACTAAAATTAGGTGGAATTATAAGGCATGGTTATCTAACTTTTTAATGTAGCATTAATCACTAAATAATGCCTAACATTATAAAATGGGTTTATCATTTTCTATTGTTTGCTATACTTGAATGAGCTTTCAAACATATTTAAAAATATTTTTAGACCAATGTAAAATTAAATTAAATTTTTTTGTATATTCAATGGCTTTTTTCTTTTACATTAATAGGTCTGGATGCATGACATATAATTTTTATTCAACTCTATCCCACCATGAGCTCGGTTTATATATACTATCATTTCTCCTAATCAAGATTTCATATTGGAACCTTTTTTGTTTGTTGCAATTCAGATGATTGTTTAATTGATAGATTAAAAGTATTTAAGAATGAAGGGAGCAACAATGGTTTCTTTAGACAAGACATCATCTATTGAAAATGAGTCTTGGACTCTCAATATTGAACGACTTCAACTTGCAGGGGTAAATATACATATTTTCTTATTTTTCTTTCTTTCTTCCCCTTTTTTGGTTGTCTATTCTTTGTTTATTTTTGTAGATTTTGATGATTTTGGATTTGATAATTTGTATAGGAGGCAGCACTTTATGTGGTGAGTACGACAAGCATGGAAGAATCTCTTTGAATTTTCACTAAGATAATGGCTTAGATATATACAATATCCAACGATTTCTTGAGTTAAAAATTTTTCATTTCTATTTTCTAGGTTCTTTGGATCTATAATTCTTACTCATTTGATGATTCTTTCGGTAACTTGGTTGATGATTTTTTTTTTGTTGTAATCTGTATCATAAGCTGCAAAATTATAGGTTATTTTGTATTCTTAAATCATGTGCTAAAATAAGTGAGTTTCTCTGTTTCTTTTTCTTTTTTAATAAAAGTGGTATTCAAAACCAAGAGATAGTTGGAATCTTTAAATGGTGAATTCCAAATCGACTTGTGTTTAAGGATAGATTGAAATAAAATGCTAAGAAATAAAGGATGGATCTATTTTAGAAATGTGGTGACAAACTCGTGTTTAAAATTAGAAAATATGTATTTCTAGAATCATTTTTTCATACTTGAAAGAAAAAATTGGGACTATTGTAAAAGTTTAAAAATTATAATCCATTTCTTAAATTGCATAATTTTTTTATGAAGAAAGTTTGTCCTTTTGCAAAAAAAAAAAAAAATGTTTACACGGGAATCCCTCTATACTTGCTGAAAACCAAGAACAGAACCAAGAACTGAACGAGAGGAATTGCTGACCGCCAAAATGTTCCCATCCAAGAGCCCCACGCCGACATCTATCTGTGTTGTCCACAAAAGAGAATAATAAGTCAACAAAAATTAGGGAAAAAAAAACAAAATTACAAAACAACCAAGCAAATATAACATACATGTTGAATGAAGGGAAAAATAAATGGCATGATTGGAAAATATGGCAAACACCTAAGGCTAAACTAATACTCATAAATAGCTAAAGTGGCCTACCTCTCCGGATCACAAGGGGCAACAATGACTCAAACAAAAGAGGTACAAAGAACAAATAAATTACAAAGGAATCACAATACTATAGCATGCATCTTCCGGTGTCCTGAGTAAGAGAGAAACAGCAAATGGCATTACCGAAATATGAAGCACCACTAAGGCTAATGCTAATCACATGAAGAGGAAATTGCTGACCAAGAGAGCCACGCGGACAGATGTGAATTTCCAGCAAAGCCATTGTCATCCAATGCCGAAAGACCAAAACACCCCTCAAAGGCACAACAATTACAGTATAACCGGCCTCTTTTCACTGTAGCAATCCGAACTCCCACCTTTAGTATAGTAACTAGGAGGGGAACACCGCGCGGTGTAATTTTCAAGTTTGCCCAAAAATATTCAATTATTCAAATTGGGATATTCAATATAAAGAGTTACATGAAGGTGCACACAAATCTTTGTGATTATTTTTTGTAATTTTATTAAGCAATGAAGAGAGACACAATTTCAGTCTGGTTGCTAAATGACAGTCACTTTTGTTATGCTGACTAATTGGACAACAATGGCAATGTCATTAGTTTGAAAATAATATATCACTGTGTAATGCTGCCTTATATTTTTTATGTACAGCAAAATCTGTGACTTTCTAGCTCAAAAAAAAAAAATGAGAGCGGCGTAGTATTGCAGCAAGGCTTGGTCTTATTTTTAGACTCTGATACAACCAATCCACTATTTTCGCAATTGCATCAAATTAACCCAAAGACCGCAAAAAAAAATCCATTACTTTGTAGTACAATAACCAAAATGGCTTCATTAGCTTGTAACTTCAAGAAATCTAAGAAAAGGAAAAGAAATTGTGTTTACATATCAACCATAGTGAGATAAACTGCATTTGACTAAAAACGGAGGAGGATTACTAATGCAGGTGTATCTTCTCAATACATCAATAGCATAGGGGTTGGTCAACTATTTAACACAAAAAAGAAAAAGAAAAAGGAAGTTTCACAGGCCTCGATGCAATTCAGCCCTTGATCATTTGATGCATGTCAACAGCTAGAATCCTGTAAAAGGAAAGACAAGTACATGAGACAATGTAAAAGGCTACATTTCTGAAACTTGCGACCAGTAGACTGCATTCCAGAGGTTCTCATTACATGTCAAAGCTGCTCCAGCTCAAAAAGAAATATAAGAAAAAGGAAAAACAGAAATGCAGTGTAGTATTGCATCAAGCTTTTTCCTTGTTATTAGGATCATACACTTCAAAATAACCCAAAGACCAAAAACACATTACTTTGTAGTACAATAACTGATAAGGTTTTCATTAGCCCGTAACTTCAACAAAATCCAATAAAAAGAAACTGTGCTTACATATCAACTTCAGTGGGATAAATTGCATTTGACCAAAAAAGGAGGAGGATTATTAATATAGGCCATAATTCTATCCTCTCGATACATCGGTAGCAAAAGGGATGGTCAAACTCTTGGCACAAAATAACTCATCCAGTTACACAAGATTTTAAACCAAACAAAAATATTATGATAACACCAGCCACGTGAGATATAATGCATCAAGAGTTGATATACATATACAGCAGGTAATGCAAAGATCAAATAGCTACAGTTAGTGCAAAATCTAGTATCCAGGGTCATATGCTTCAAGGTTCTGATCTTGATAAAGCTTCAAGGGTGGCCGATTCTGCTTCCCACATAAATAAACACGTAGTTTTGTTAATCAAATGGCAGAAGCATTCTTGAGTGGTACTGCAAAAATCCACTTCATACAGTTAAATATTAGTAACAATTACCATATTCTCCAAAAATATATCATAGATTTTTTTCTTTTATCATTGTCACTTCCATTTTAATCTAACTTTTTTCACTTATAGGAACATCAACATTAGCGCCTATCTATGCAATTACCTATATGCCAGACAAGTTTTTTCCATATAATTATCCTTGAAGGCAAAAGTATGGGGCAAAGGATTTTGTACAATTCATAGGTCGGAGCATACTGCACCAGTGTAGCCAAAGAATAAACGAACAATCTTCAATTACAATATAAAACATGCAATAACTACAAATGAACAATTTTCCATTACATTATTATATACACAATACAGACACTGTTGTAAAAAAAAAAAAATCCGTTCATAGAGATGGTTATATTAAAACGAAAGGTGAAAGAAAAAAGGTTAGAATCAGCACCTTAAAAGTAGTAGAAGGCCATTATTTGCTTTATTATATGCCGATAATTTTAATACCTAATTCCATCATGAAGAGCCCGGTATCCATCTAATTTAATGCCAAATAAGGACACAAAGAAATGGTTCGCAAGTTGAATAGCAGAAAAGATAATTAACAGAGGTTCGCAAGTTAAATAGCAGAAAAGATAATTAACAGAAACTTAGTCATTTTCTCATAATCAACAGAAACATAATCAACAGAGACATCTACTAATTATTAGTATACAAGCACATCTATTTGACTAAGATATTTTTCTAAATAAAGTGTAAACAGCTTACCTGTCTAAAGCTGAACTATGCTAAAAGGTCAAAGCTTGGGCTTAGACTGATTGGTACTAAATGAAGCATTACCCCTATAAAATTCAACCCAAAAAGTTAACAACAATAAATAGAAGCAAAAATAAATTGTTCATATGCAAAATGGAAACAAATAGAAAAAAAAAGAAAGCCATAAAATGTTACACAAAAATAATCACCGAGTTTTTAGCCAAAGACATTGTGCTAAATTTGAACAACCCATGAATCCAAAACTATATGGTCAAAGAAGGAAAAGAGATCTAGGGATAATTTTCTTCTAAGTAATAGGTTTTTGGTAAACATACACCTTTCATAACAACATTTGTGGCCAAAGTGTTCATCTACCAACCAATCTAACAAATTTTGCCACTTTAACCCCCTTTCCCACAATTAGTTGAAACTTATTCAAAACTATAATTAAAAACTTCAAACTAAAGTCATCAAAAGATGAAATAAGTTCAATTCCATTGGAAATTGACAATGGCAGAGACATGAAAAAGAAACCAAGAAAATTGACAATTTAAGTTTTTTTGAAAATCCCAAGCAACAACTAAACAAGAGCTGGGAAATTTGAACATAGAACATCAGCTGCTCTAACTGCTAAATGTAAGACATTTCAACTGTTGAGAAACAATAACTGCTATCAATAGAGATAGATAGAACCCCGCTAAATTTCAAGGCAGTAAAGATAGGCAGTATGGCAAATACACAAGTATCAGAATCATAACTGGAGAATGCCCTCAAACTGAATTAACTCTTGCAATGCCCCTCCCAATTTCATCATATTCTGCACCAACCAATTTAACAAACACCATTCATTTTTTATTTAACTCTAAAAGTGTATTTACTTTTTAAATCCCTATATGCACACACAAAAGTCTATTTCTACTTTTTCTGCTTAAAAGGAAACATTTAGACAAAAAATTCCGAAACATAGGAGACAAAAAAATTGGGAGAATGAAGGAAAAAAAGTGTAAAAGTAAGTGCATTCCAGTCCAGTGAAAGCAAAAAAAAAAATTTTCATAAATGGTTTATGGTCAATTGTATCGCCATTCCCGATGTGATTTCTAACATCAAAACTTCAACTTTCTCACCTATTCACTTGTGATATCTGGAGTGATAAGTCTTGCTTCAGAAAACTTCCTGTATTAGCCAAAAAATACACTACTTCATTTTTCAAACCAAACAAAAGAAGTGAAATAATTTTTCTACATGCATATGATTGATTGTTGAAAGCATATTTCCAAAGGCATTCCCTATTAATCCTTCGGCAAAATGCTATGAAATATATGATATTTCAATCCAAAAAAGTACAATTATAATGTTCTTGATTATTTAGAAAAGGGTATGAAAAAAATCAAACTTTTTTGACTTGCTAAACCATCCAGAACATTATCATCCCCCTGTTACTAATCGAAAGATTAACAAATCTTAGCAGGGAAAATGTCTTTCTTTTTTAAATAAAGGAAACTGTAAAACTTTAGGGAAATATTGGAGCTTACCAATTAAGATGATTTCTGCGTCTCATGCGTTTAGTAGCTTCATATCCAGACCAATTCTAACAAGGGAAAAAAAATCAGTTAGAATCATATAATTGAAAAAAGGAAAGAGAAGAAAGGGAAAAGGGGGGAGGGGGGAAACGGGAAGGAAAAATAGAGAAAAAAGGACCAAATAAAAAACAACAAAAAGGAACAAAGGAACAAAGGAATGAAAAGAAAAATGGAAGGGGAGATGAGAGGAGCTCTGGTGAGCATTTGTTTTTAGTTTGTTTCCGGCTTCGCCAAGATTGGGTTTGTTTACCGGATCGAAAAAAAAAACTTGGTAGGAGAATCTTATGAATCAAACAGATCATATACAAAATAGAGGCACAGACGGAAGACTTAAGTCGTCTTCGGCAAGAATCAGAGAACAGAGCGACCAAAGAAGGAGAGATTGAGTGACTCTGATCCAGCTAGGGAGATTGTCTTCTTCGCGGTGAATCGTCCGCTTTGGAAGCCCTTGGCGGTGAATAAGCTGCTGATTTGTCATTGGCTTTTGGGAATGGGGATTCAAGATGAGAGTTGCATGAGTTGCTTCAAGCTCTGCCATTGCCATATGCGGCTCCTCAACTTCCTTCTTGGTTGGGGGCGGCGGAGATCAATGACGGGAAAGAAAACAAGGGAAGCCCTAAAACAAAATTTTGGCACGTGAGAAACGCATGAATGACGACTATCCTCCAACCAATAAAACACAGCCACGTCAGCACAAAACCACCGTTCTTAACAGATCCATTCGCGCTTTTACTATATAGGTTGAAGATAGGAGGAAAAAAAAGTTGATTTTACACAAAAGAAAAAAAATGAAAGGGATAATTTCAGAAACCTTCCTTGAGGTTTATGATAATTTCACTTAGCTCTCTTGAAATTTTAAAAATTATGCATACCTCCCTTATTATTAAAATGACAATACTGCCCTTAAACATTTTAATGAAATTCTTTTGTTTGGTATGCATATACTACGAATGAGTTTTAAAGTTATTTTTTCGTACTTTTTCCTTCTTATTCCTCTTTTTATTTTTTGCCAACAAAACTATAGAACTACCACCATTACCTCTAGCTTCTATCGTAACCAAATATCGAGTTAGTGACTTTTTTGACGAGTAAACTTTGTGCTGTGATCCAATATTTGCGCTGATCTTTGATTTCTACTTTTTTGGGCATCAAAATCAACAATAAATTAAAAGGAAAATGCCCAAAACCACTGCTAAACTATGGTAATTCCACTACTCGGAATATTCACAAACTCTAGAAGAATTATTTCAATACTTTCTACTCTATCTTATAAATCTAAATCTATAGTAAAATACCACCAAAAGTATTCTATCATAGTGATAAAATTATTATTATTATAGTTGTTTCTCAAATAATAGATATAGACATGAAAAATTTGGCACCGTTTCTTATAATTGCACTAAATAATCTTATAATTGTCTATGAAAGTAAATTAAAACTCATCACACGATGGCATTTTAGGGTATTCATTTAAAAATTTGACCAAGTCAATATTATTTTAAGGTTTCATTACTAAAACTAACAAATCAAGAGTCGTAGGTGTGATTTTACAAATTTCAGGAGAGCTAAGTGAAATTGTCATAAACTTTAGAGCAGGGTTTTTGAAATTATCTCAAAATGAAACCACCTAAACTTTTGGAAACCTTGAAAGAAGTGAAGTAACTATTAGTGCACTGGTATTACATTTTTGTTGATAATTTCGAGAATATACAGATAGTGAACTCCAAACTTTGTGACAAGTATTATAAGAACTTCATCTTCATCTGCCGTGAATTACCATACCACCTGGTATAGAGAAAATAAGGGCTCTTGGCGATATCAAAATGGCACTCAACCTTTTCACTCTGGAGATTTGCCTTTCGTGGGATAAAAGCAGGAGAAGCAAGCCACTCTTTTTCCTGCATCACATTCAAGAAAGAAATCGATATTAGTGACTTAGTATTGATATGGTGTTAATAAATATTTGCTACGGATAACAAAAATAGTATGTGTCATATAGTCTTTGTGACGAAATGAAAATGCAATTGTTAATTGTTCTCCACCTTTTCATTTGACAATCGTTTTTATTATAAAGTATTTTGTTATTAAATATAAGATAGTGAAGTGCCCTTATGAACAAGTTGAGTCCATCAACAGTTCCTTGTACTGCAAATTAATCGTTAAATATTTTATGCACAATTTTTTAAAGAAATTGCTTCCACTAGAAGCCTTGCAAATAATGCAACTTATTTCAACTTAGGCAGAATTAATCTTGACCACTATTAGTTCTAAATATCTCACGCACCTAGTTTTATCTAAGGGTGCAATAATGGTCATAAGTAAACAATTCTGAACAGAAAAAAGACAAAAAAAATCTCATAATCTGATAATTAATTAACATTGCAATATTTTTATGACATTCTGGTGTTAGGTGCTTGCCTTTTACGTTTGTTTGTTCATATCCGTAACCCCACCAAAATTCTACTTGAAAGGTTTCAAATGATGTATTCCCACCTGCAACGGCTAAACTTATTTTTATTTCTAGGGATAATTTCAGAAACCTCCCCATAGGTTTGTAGCAATATCACTTGGCACCCCTAAACTTTGAGAAATCTAACCCATCTCCCTTATTTTTAACTTTTTGTAACATTATCAACCCATTTCAAAATATATTATTAAGAAACACATATTTGGAGAGAGCACGTGTTTTCATGCCAAAATTGCCCTTGTGTTATCCTACTACTTTTCCAAAAGCGAAGATATATTACTAAAAGCCTGAACATAAAGAAAACTAGTGTGAAAGTATAGTTCTAATAGAATAAATTATACCTGTTAGCGTTTTTAAGGTTCAAAAAATTATTATTTAAAAATATGTTTAAGATGTTTCAAGATTTAAAAAAAAATTATTTCATTCACCATAAGGAACTTTTGTTAATTTGAGGGTTTTTAAAAATTTAGAAAGTTCAAAATTTTTAAATTTTTTGAACTTTAGAAAGTTAAAAATTTAAAAATTTTGAACTTTCTAAATTTTTTGTATAGACTTATGACTTGAATATCATAAATAAACACAATGTCTAAAATTATGTTTACAAACTCATTTGAGGTGTTCTAAAATATGTAAAAGTAACTTTCTTTGCTTCAAAGTATTTTTAGATGAATTTAGAATTCTACAAATTTTTTAGAATTTTTTTAATGTTCTAAATTTTTGTCCAAATTAATGACTTGAAAACAAGAGAAAGATAAATTATTATTAAAAAATTTAGAAACTTATTTGAGGTATTTTTAAAGTGGAAAATGTTATTTTTTTCTCTAATCATAACAATTTTTTCTTTTGCATTTCTTGTCTACACTAATGCCTTCAAAAATTGCAAAACATCTTTTAATCTGATTAATATGTTATTTTCTTCAGGATTTAACTTGGTTTGTTATGAAAACTAAATGTCAACAAGAAAATAGCAATTTTAGAATAGAAATGTTTCATCTCTCCCAAAACGAGTTTTTAAATCATATCTTTTAAGATGAATTGATAAAGTTACAAAAAGTTGAAAAAAAGGGAGGTAGGTGAGATTTCTCAAAGTTTAAGGATATCAAATGATATTATTACAAATCTCATGGGAGGTTTCTAAAATTATCCCTTATTTTAAGTTGTGCTTGATGATGAGTCATCTTTCAGTGTTTTTTGAACATGTTTTGTGGATTTATATATTTTACTTCTACATTTACAAAGAACTAGTGACATTTATTAAGTCTGGATTCACTAATTTTGATGTCGAGGAGCACTTGGTCTAGTAGTTAAGGTAGGGTTTTAGATTCAAATCTCCTTCCCTTTTCAACTTCTTAAATCGTATTTCCGGCTAAAAGGGAAAAAAAAATAATGGACATGCCAAATATATTCTGAGATTTGGTGAATTCATACAGAAAGAAGAACAACTATTGTATTTGCAGCTGGGCTTGAGTCTGTATGCAAGTCCAAAGTAAAACAAACTAAACAACATTCCGGGATTAGGCTTTGTAAGAAACCCCATAATACATATAGCTTTTCAACTCAAACCGCAAAAATCTATAACATGCTTTAATCTGGAAGGCTATTAATTACATACCAAGTCAGAAGACTTTGGAAGGTTATTACATACTAATTCAGATGACTCAAACTCAAAAATATCGATGATAAAAAGCTCGGCCGACTTGCAGTCTATGAGGCCTTCCAAATTATTGGAAACTAAAGTTGGGCATAAATAGGATAACAAACTTAAAAATTTGCTTAGCATTAGGCAAGCCAAGGACAACAGCAAAAGGAACAATCTTAAGTCGTGATTTGCTTCAGAAGATGAAACATTCTTCTATGTCCGATTGGCCAACTATCTTAATTTTACAGATGGCCGCACTTATAATCCCCAACCTCTGTTTGAAAGAGATCACAATTAGTCGTGCTCATCAACTGTTTGAATGAGAGATCATAATTAGTTGCTCATCAACTTGTCAAAGTAAACAAATTAAAAAGATCTTGCCAACAAATAAGTTTACAGAGAGAAATTGGGTAAAAAAACAGCCATAGTGCTTAATTTCAAGGGATAATTGCAGAAACCTCCCCTGACTTTTATAGTAATAGCATTGACCTCCCTATCAATTTTGAAATAGCACTGACCTCCCCTATCAAAAGTTGGAGGCAATTTAATAGGCAAAAGTGGATCAATTTACTAAAGTACCCCTGACATGATTTAATTTTACCAAATGAATGTGATGAGTACTTTCATCAAACCCAACAAAACATTTGTTAATAAAAATTACACTAAATTAACTATTTCTGCATAGTTTAACTAATTAACTAATTAACTAAATAACTAATAATCTAATTAATTAATAACTAATAATCTAATTAACTAATTATCTAATTGTTAATAGTTGTTAACTAATCAAACTATTTCTGCATAATTAAACTAATTAACTATTAACTAATTAACTAATTATCTAATTAACTAATTATCTAATTAATTAATTAACTAATTAACTAATTTCTGTTTATCTAATTAACTAATCTCTATTTATCTAATTAACTAATTAACTAATTATCTAATTAACTAAAACTGTTGTCTGTCCAAAACTAATAAACTATTTGCATGTTAAACTAATTAACTAATTAACTGCTTAACTAATTAACTACCTAATTATCTAATTAATTAATTAACTAATTAACTAATTTTTGTTTATCTAATTAACTAATTAACTAATTATCTAATTAACTAAAGTTGTTGTCTATCCGAAACTAACAAACTATTTGCATGTTAAACTAATTAACTAATTAACTGCTTAACTAATTAACTAAAGCTGTTGTCTATCCTAAACTAACAAACTATTTGCATGTTAAACTAATTAACTAATTAACTGCTTAACTAATTAACTAACTAATTATCCAATTAATTAATTAACTAATTTTTATTCATCTAATTAACTAATTATCTAATTAACTAATTAACTAAAGTTGTTGTCTATCCGAAACTAACAAACTATTTGCATGTTAAACTAATTAACTGCTTAACTAATTAACTAATTAACTAAAGCTGTTGTCTGTTCGAAACTAACAAACTATTTGT